GCAAATAGCGAATAAATCAATTTGGCCGAAATATCCGGCTTTTAAATCTCAGAATATCCAGACGTGGTCGATCGTTCTTCATTTTTCGGTCTTTGCGTATCAGGACATATGCATTTGTCACAAAAGAAACCTTTTTTTTAAGGATTACTGAATTCTCTGAAGAAACAAAATCACGAACAGGAATAACGTAAAGGCAACCGCGGTCTCAACTTTTGCGTGCACTCAGTTAGCAGTATTAGCACGCAATATTTCTTGACGATCGACTCTCTGCAAGTATTGTACTGTGAATGTGAGTACATATATGAGCGATAGCCAGTGATGTGTGCCAATTTTTTCAACTATAAATAATTTCTGAATCAATTACGCTGATGAAAGGGTCGCAAATTTGTCTTCCATTGGAATAATGGCATGCTGAACAATTTTGGATACTGCTGAAGTAAAAACAATTCGCATTTTTTCTTTGAGAGGCTCCTCGTAGATTACCTCTCCAACCCCTTAGTTCATGGCTTCAATAGAGATGAAGTTGTAAAAAATGTCAAAAGAGCACCTTATGGACTCCCAAAATATCTGTCGTCAGGTTTGTAGCAAGGATTCCTGGATCATGAGATTCGATGCGGGGCTTGATATTGTAGATACCTTTTTTTCCCCGTCACAACAATTCGTAATTGCTCAATTTATTGGTAAAGATTTTGTGAACCAGAGCAGCATTCGTTCTTATCGTTTGCTTTTTTACTGAGCTCAATTTTTCCGTCTTGACAACATAATTTCGGATTAACGTTCATTATTCGCACGAATTTTTCCGTCCCTTATTCTTTAAGTGAAGAATATTCTTCATTTTCCTTGAAGTGATGTAAAATAATTTTTTTTCGGAATCTATAAATTTGATACTCAATCTAAGACAGTATTTCATAAAGTACTGCGTGTATGCCATAAATCTGCAGAATCATTTCACCAGAACAGTACACCACAAAAACTCACAATAGGTAAGTAAAAAAACAACAAAATCGCAGCCCAAGTCACGTTCCACAGATCCTCAACAGACTCTTCTGAGACGAATAAAACAAAGCTACGGATTTGAACAGAAAAACGAGGAAGGGGATTAAAAAAAAAAAGGAATTTGGCGAAAAATAACGAATGTCCGGAAGGTTTCCGGGGGTTTATTGCACCTGCTGTTGGTGCCTCACCCTCGAACCCGGTTGTGAATCAGGGCGAGGAGTTCATCGCAACGAAAACTCTCCGAGGAGCATCTAATGGAGAGGTTGGGGAATCAAGTACCGAAGTTATCTCTACTTCAACATTTTTTACAGTTTTCTCGTGGAATACCTGAGGGTTTTATAGACAGCAGTCCAAACATCGGAGGATTCCTGGATCATGAGATTCGATGCGGGGCTTGATATTGTAGATACCTTTTTTCCCGTCACAACAATTCGTAATGGTTCAATTTATTGGGAAAGATTTTGTGAACCAGAGCAGCATTCGTTCTTATCGTTTGCTTTTTTACTGAGCTCAATTTTTCCGTCTTGACAATATAATTTCGGATTAACGTTCATTATTCGCACGAATTTTTCCGTCCCTTATTCTTTAAGTGAAGAATATTCTTCATTTTCCTTGAAGTGATGTAAAATAACTTTTTTACGGAATCTATAAATTTTATACTCAATCTAAGACTGTATTTCATAAAGTACTGCGTGTATGCCATAAATCTGCAGAATCATTTCGCCAGAACAGTACACCACAAAAACTCACAATAGGTAGATACAAAAAAGACAAAATCGCAGCCCAAGTCACGTTCCACAGATCCTCAACAGACTCTTCTGAGACGAATAAAACAAAGCTACGGATTTGAACAGAAAAACGAGGAAGGGGATTACAAAAAAAAAAAGGAATTTGGCGAAAAATAACGAATGTCCGGAAGGTTTCCGGGGGTTTATTGCACCTGCTGTTGGTGCCTCACCCTCGAACCCGGTTGTGAATCAGGGCGAGGAGTTCATCGCAACGCCTCATGACTCGAAGAAGGAAAGAAAAAATCTGCGAAAGAAAAGGTTTCCGCACAGAAGAATGAGCAACTGGTGCCCAGAGAAAAAATATACAAATTTGCCAAAAAGAAAGAAAATAAAAATTACTTTAAACATATTAAAAAAAAAAGAAGACCTTCACGACGAGGAACGTAAAGCAAATGAGTACTTTCTGTTTAACGCATTCGTTCTTCGTGTTGTGCTGGAGCACCGCAGAATATTTTTCGTTCCCGAATTTCACCCCGCATCCCTCAAAGGAATTGTTTTGTTTTTTTCAAGAAGCAAATTAAAGCTACACCGAAGAAGAACTTCGTTTTGCAATTCAATCTTCTACCAAAGATATGCTTCGAAGGCGTGAAAAGTTCTGAGGTCGGGTTGAGGCCAAGGCGAAACATTCCTGCCAAATTAGCCGCTCTCGAAGTCAAGGAAACTCTTGTTTCCGACCCTGGATATCATATTCTTCCACTCTTTTTTCCCTGGCTTTCCAAATGAATTTAAATATCAAAAGGCTTTCACAGAAGATTCGAAAGAAGCCTTCCAAGCCTCGTAAATACCGTGAAAAGGGCTCGAATTTCGGATGAATCGGAGCACATCGGCAGAACTTAGTCCGAAATCTTATTCGTCAACCAAGTGACGGATCATGTAAAAAAAGAAAAATCTCTGACACGCTCAAGATGTGTGAATCACAAATATAAATATTTCCCCAGTCAATTCTACCCGTGTTCATTAGTTGAAAACCCCCCGAATACCTCAATTTCCTAAAATTATTCTTTCAGGATGATTTCGTCAATGGAAACAGATTTTTAATCCGGAAATATTTCCCGAAAATTCTAGGCATTCGATGGACACGTTGATGATATTTTTTTCAATCATGAGTACATTTGGGACATCCATCAAGATTAATCATCAAAATCTGTAGATTCTGTAGTTCGAAACATATTACAATGAATCAAGTTACTCTAATTTTTCATCTTTTGAAATTCTACGTCATAAATTCAGGAGGATTTCGTAGCGCTAATAGAAAATGAGCGATGCCGTTCGAGTCAAAATTTCTAGAATGGGAAGAACAACCATCATTGACTGCAATTATTCCAAACTTGTCAATTTTTTTTATCTCCGGTGGAAAAAAATATATATTCAGAAGGAACTTTCAGAAGCAGCAAGAAGAATCCACTTTCTTTCCGGGAAAAGAATAATCGCGCAAAGTTTGAACCACTCGAAAAAGAAGTGCCAAAATCATATAGCTCATTTAACGAAGATTATTCAGCACTTATTAATGCACAATTCGTCTGAAACGCAGCAGCACTGGCACATATAAAAAAATTCAATTCATGAACACCCGGGGAGAATCCACTTTTTCTGCCAGGATTAGCAGCATGGAAAACGCATTGTGTTAAACACTCGGAAATAATTGGCAAAATGATCTGGCTCGAAGGAAGCTGTTCGGAGGAGGTGATCCAAAATGCGGGGAACGAGGCCTATTTTCGCGCCGGATGCTCGACCGGTAGTGAGACCCCTGGTCTGTGGGTTCTGCGTCGTTTTGCTCTCTGGGTTCCAGATCTCGACGACTCGTTTTCGGCGCAATCCCGAAAACATTTCCTCTTTTCCGAACGTACCCCGGGATCCCGTCATTCCAGTCTCTTACTTTAAAATGATGGCGTTTGAAGAAGTTTGAGTAGAAGTGCTGGAAAAATTGATGTTTATGCGGTCTTTTTCCCCCTTATTTTTGATTATATAATCCAATGAAAACATAAGTTCTTGAGGAGGCTTCAGGACTAGGTTCATGCCCCGAAATTAGCAAAGTCAACGCGGTACTTTCCTCCATTCTTGGGAGAGAAATCTGAGAATGTTTCGTCGAAGAATGAAGTCGATTTCTGAGGAAAACACCCGAGAGAACATGGTTTCTAATTTCCATGGACTTTTTCGAAAGAAAATTATCCCTTATGTACATTTTAAATAAAAGTTTCAAAGATTAGCTCGTTTTTTTAAAGACCAGAGCGGCATCATAATCACACACACACACGTACACCAGAACCACATCAGCACTAAAGCGAATGCGGAAAAAATGAGCGACTTTTCAGCAATTCGGCGAGTTTATTTTTCTCAGCTCTGTCAAATTCCTTGGCATCACATTTTGCAAATATTTTGGCTCAAGGCAAGTCTCGGCCTTGGCTATACTTCCTGGAGACACTTTTATAGCGAGAAACCAGAATTGTAAACATTTGTAAACCAGTATCTTTTCTCAGTACGCTGTGAAAATAAAAATAAAATATTCTTTAGTGAAAGTGCGCCGAAAAACTTTCAGGGACGCATAATTCCGTGTCTCAAATTAAACAACACATGCTCACTGTGTTCGCGAAGAATTTTTGTTTATACACAGCATACTCATTACAGGAAGTACTGTCTTGTACCGCTATTTAGAAGAAACTTGAGAAAATTGAAAGTATAGTTTTTTCACTCGCTGTTTCTCCGTGTTCCGAGCTTTAAATAAATTCTCATGACACGTGTTAATCGGGGTTTTATCCAAGGACATTTGAGAAAATTTTCCGGAAAACTTCGCAATTTTTCTTGGTGATGAAAAAATTTCCTTGCGACGCAAAAATTGCACATCTTTCCATGCTCGAACAAAGTTAACGTGCGTCTTGCTGAGCTAATATCTTAGTCAAGATATGAGTGATATTTATAAAACATTTGCCTATTTCTTAATTTTGCCGAGAGTGAGTTATAAAATTAGCTGAAGAATTGGAGGAAGAATCTGGTCCATGGAGTCTGAACAGTAAGCTGGAACAAATGCTAAATCATCCGATGAACTCATTCCAAGAAATAGACAGAAAATAACCGTTTTTTTTTTTTGCATACGAAAAGTTTGTTACTAGAATAAGCGTTGAAATTTTTTGACAACCGGTTGAATGCTGGAAGTCCCCGGGTAAATTTTGACCCGTGTCACCTGATGAGACGATGTATAGTACTTGGCAAGTGCAACATATTTCTCCTTTCAAATACTTTTTATTCCTTAAAATAGTGTGTTTTAAACCTGCTGGTTTCATGAGTTTTCAGACAAAGGAATAATATTCGCGGATCACAATTTTTCTCCGCTGTTCTCACGGACTTCACGTCAAGAGCCAGTTTCGGATGTCTGTGTCAATGAAAGTGGCAACTGAAGGGGCATTGTAATCACAAGCCAGTAAAACGGCTGATCCACCTTGGAATTTGGGTTTTCCGAAAAACGTGTTCTTGGCATTTTGGCCTGTGTTGAGGTTCACCCTTTTGAAATATGACGTGATTCCGACGAGGACTTGTTCACCATCAACTGTGGCTACAATCGGAGCTCCTGAGTCACCCTGAGGACAATAAAAAAAAAGTTAAAAAAATTAAACTTTTGACGAATAATTTAAAGATCATTCAAGAATGGATAATAACTTTTATCATTCTTTCAGCAGGTAAAATCTGAAATGATTATTTTCGAGTGACCTCAGAATTTTTCCTTCGACTTGCGCTCGTTTAACTTGAAAAAATATTATCGAATTGCGTCAAATTTCATCAAGACTATGTTTATTTTCTTCAATCGACCCTCAAACCACGTACTTATTGCATAGATTCTCGATTTCATGTCATACAGTATTTTGAATGTGTATCATTGGATGAAGTATACGCTATTTCATTTTCCTTGGCAAACGAATAAGCCAGTGTAGGAGTCGGGAGCGTCCGGGTAGGCAGGAGCGTCCGGCCGGACACTCTCACCTAGTTGGGAGCGTCCGACCCCCGGTCCAGAGTGTCCGGCCCCCAGGCGGGAGCGTCCTGCCGCCAGTCGGGAGCGTCCGGGATTGAAAATCCAATAATATGAAGGTTTTACGAATGAAATAGTACAGAACTACATAGGCAGTGGTTGAGAGCATGTTAAATGATGAAATTTATTGAAAATCTTGAAGGTTTTACCTGCAAGAAATTTTTAATAAAAACTTTTAATCAAATTTTTCATTCAAAATTCTTCAGTAATAATCTTCCTACCAATAATAACTTTTAAATCAACTTAATCATTATAAATGGCTGCAAAACAATATGAAGAAATGTGTAAGAAGATCATTGTCTATTTGGAAGAAGGAAGGTATGATGAGGAAGTGCAGAGCAATAATGAGAAGAGGGTGCTCCAATGTACAGCAGCTTCCTATGTGATACTGAACAACCAGTTGAATTTCAAGTAATAATTTTTTTTTTTTTTCAAATATCATTAGAATAGTAATTCCATTAAATGAAGCCAAAAAGTGTACTTTCATGCACAAAGAACATGATAAAATTTGTTCATAAAATTCCCTCCAATGGCTTTATTGTAAGAATGGTAAGGCACAGTTTTGGATTATTTCTTAGAAACTTTTGGAAAAAAATATCTTATTTTGTGAGATGTGCTTTTAGCTAACAAACATAATTTGTTGTGATGTTCATTAGCTGGAATGCTTACATAATCTTGAGTGCTTTTAATTTAGAACCATGCCAACTTATTATTTAAAAAACTGTCAAGGTTTTTTTTTTCAAAAACATTTGCAAGCTGGATCCCAGTTTATAAGCCAATACTTTTTATTATTTAGATACGCTGAAGTGAAAAAGGTCAAAGAACCCACATATTTAAGGGTTATTTTCAAAAAAGAAGACCAACAGCGTTACTTGAAGGCAGCACATGAGGGAGCTGGTAATTCCCTAATTCTCTAAACTAGTTCCTACTGACAGTGGTTTTACTGGCATTATTATGGTATGTGATTGCTTCAGTGAATGGATTTAAGCAAAGTCTTTTACCAGACCAAATTCAGAAGAAGTTGCACAGTGATTTTTTTTTACACCCGGACATCCCTGACTGGGGACGCTCCTGACTGGGGGCCGGACAGTCCTGACGGCGGCAGGAATGTCCGACCGGACGGTCCTGACTAGGCGGGACTGTCCGGCCGGACAGTCCGGACGGCGGACGCTCCTGACTGCCACACCGGCGTAAAATTTTTAAAACTGTAAAATAAACTTTCTCCGTTCCGGTTCGCAGAGGGTTAATTTAGAGAAACTTTGTCGATGATTTCCGGGAATTTCGCCATCAGCAATATGTTAACACGAATGCAGTACTTATAAGGTTTGTGTGTGAATTAAAATGTTCTACTCAACTTACGAAACAGGGTCCGATATTGGACCCACCGCCAAAGCAAAGCTGCGCCGAAGGGTCGAACACGTATTTTTGGTCATCATCGGCATAAGCGACTGCACACGCTGATGAGTCTCTATTTTTCATAACTCCAGTTGTCATACTTGGACTTCCACCTGAACAAAAGAATAACGAAATAATTCCGTGAAAATAATTATGCAACAACCGACGAGTCATGCTTAAAAAAAAAGTCAAGTGTTGCTTATGATGAGGATACTCGTTTATTGAATAAAGTTTACCAAGTTTCAAGTCCCCCAAATAAAGGAAAATTGTAAAGTACACAAAGCTAACAAAAATGAACTCAAGGAATCTATTGGTGGAGAATCCGGCGAGAAAAACAGTCGAAAAATCCGCAATGAACGTCATTATCGCATGATTTTAAATTTTCACTATGCCTTGGTGAGTTACAGAACTTACAGTTCAGTATTTTCTTCGATGTGCTCTTTCTCAATTTATCTTTTTACTGCGAACGTGAAAGATTTAAACTTACGTTGGGAGATTTCTGCGCGGGCGACGCCATTCAGCGAAATTTCTCGCTTATTCTTCAGTTATTAGTTATATTCGAATTTCAAAAAGGAAAGAAATAAATTGCAAATGTACCGTAAGTACTTCCCCAGCCGGTAACTGTGACTAGTGTTGAGCTGTTACTGAGCACAGCAGCATTTTCATTCATGAAAATGCTGTCGACTGACGTGTTTGAGCCCAAGGTCATCGGAGAATCCAACACAAGTTTTGCAATGTCAAACTGTCTCGTTGCCGGGTCGTAATTGGCATGCCGTATGATTCCTCTTGCGTTGCTGTTGACTTCGATTTCATCGCTTTCTTGGATATAGGAATCCAGGTCACCCACCGAACAGAAGACGGACAATGGCCAACTCACTTGGAAAAATCAATTTTGAATCACGAAATCAACACTCTTCTTATAATTCTGGTTTCTCAATATATGGTGAGAAACTTAAATGGCGAAGAAATGGAGTTGGGAAGTTTTATAAAATTCTACAACCCTTTTCGTTATTCGATCTCAAAATAATACATGGAACAAAAGTATCCGAGTATCCGTTTTCTTAGAATGATTCTCAAATAGTTCTCTCGCAAGTAAAATTGCACGTAAAAGATTTAAATTACAAATTCCCACGTTAGTAGTGCCAATCCGTCATTTCCTTCAGTTGACATGTTCCTCAATGGTGAGAAACTTAAATGGCGAGGAACTGGAGTTGGGAAGTTTTATGAAATTCGACAACCCTTTTCGTGATTCAATCTCAAAATAATATATGGATCAAAAGTATCCGAGTATCTGTTATCGTCGATCGGTTCTGAAAGAATTCTCTCGCAAGTAAAATTGCACGTAAAAGATTCAAATTACAAAATTCCCACGTTAGTGCCAATTCGTCATTTCCTTCAGTTGACGTGTTCCTCAATGGTGAGAAACTTAAATGGTGAGGAACCGGAGTTGGGAAGTTTTATAAAATTCTACAACCCTTTTCATGATTTGCTCTCAAAATAATATGTGGAGCAAAAGTATCCGTTTTCGTCGGATGATTCTCAAATATTTATCTCTCGACGAAAATTTCCCTTGAAAGATTCGAAGTAAATATGCCCACGTTAAAAAAATCCTAATTTCTTTCTGTTGACAGCGAAAATAATGTACTATAGAAGTCACTGCAAAATGATTTACAATGCAGGATCTGAAAATTGAAGACAGTTGACACGGAACATAAACTCGATCAGACTTCGTTTATGATTTGAGTTCAAACTACTGCTGGTTCGAGAGAAGTACCCGATTTTTGTCTTATTACATTTTTGCACGGAATTCATCTGATAAATCTTGATTTTACTCGATTTTGACCGTTTTCGCATAAAATCTTAATTTAAAATTAGATGAAATTCGGAATGTCTGAGCTATTTCGGGAAGTTCTGGACGGACATGGTTTTTGCGATATACGTGTCCACCGAAATTCCGGAAGTATGTTTTCAATACTATTTGTATTTTGTTGAAAGCTTCCTAAATTGATTAATTTAAAAAATAATCGCTCTTGAATCTATCTTCGATTTTTTTTCCTTGATTAAGGGTCGATTTTTCAGCACTTGAATTTCTTTCGGGAAATAATCATATCATCTTCGGAGATGAATTTCCGGAATTTCATTCTGAGTAAAATCCGATGCATAGCAGCTCACAATGGTTTTTCGACAAATGAGTGCAGTGGGCAGCAGTTGCGATTGTTGTATTGCTGATGATGGCACCCACACAAGTCTTCTCTATGAATTGAGAGCCCAAGAGAAATACCATCGTGCACCTTGCCACGTAGTTCCTCGACGTTCGATTGCCTACTGGGATCCTCCCTGATTCCATGGGAGTGTTGACCCTGTTTCCGATTGGCAAAAGTGTCCAAACATTCGCGAAAATTTCGGCGATACACGGTTCTGCGAAGTCATTGAAAATTGGCGCGACACCCACGATGAGGAGGAAAAGGAACGAAGATTTACCATTCACTGCCATATTATTTCGAGTACAGTAATCTTCAGCAGCGGGACGATTCGCGAAAAGATTCCGTGTTGGGGTCACATTTCTCTGTGTAAATGCTGAGTTGAGAAAAAAAAAATTCAGTCCATCTTAACTTTTTGGATTCAAATTAAAACTTGAAGACGAGAGTTTATTTCGATTAATGATTCTCATGATCGAACAAGAAGAAACCCAGGATGTTTACAAACGCAATATTGGGAATTTTCAAATATGCGGATGCACGAATACTGAATGGCTTTTAAAAATCGATTTTCAAATCGGTTCGATTTCACATATTATTAAAGGTTTTTTTTCGACCCAGAGGAGCTTGCGAAATCGGATAAAGTAAAATATTTAGAAAATCGTAATTATACTCTATCACGATCATAAAATAAGCAGAATTTTCACTTAAACAATTTTTGAGAGTTCACGGGAAGATTGCAGGCCAAACATAAACAAATTACCCAAAAATTATCCAAGAATCCATAACCAATCAAAATCAAACTTTTTCGCTTCTAGAATTTGCTCTCTTTGACAAGAACCTTTTTTCCGGTTTTTTTGTAATTCTTCGTGTCTCGGATTAAATACTGTACTGTACTATATACAGTGCAATCAGGCAATGAGCCAAGCTTGAACAGCGTCAGTGATGAAAACAGCGACGGCAGGAATGTTGAAATCACAGGAAAGCACTCCAGTTACAACGTTGTTGGATTTGAAACCCCTCTCAGTTCTTTGCTGGGATGAAGCAGAATAGACGACTTGTTCCCCGAAAAATGACGTAATCCCGACAAGTGTGTCACCGATTCCATTGATGCTCGTCACCAACGGTGCCCCGTCATCTCCCTGAATTTCAGTGGTGATTTTATAAACTGTTCACGAAGCGATCAAGTTTCACACCTTTTTTAATTTTTAAAACTTCCCTATGACATTTTTAAAAAATCTGACACGTGTACCGAAATAAATACAGTACTGGTATACAATTTTACCGGAATGTTCTGAAAAGCCCTCCTATGTAAAGTTGGAATGGAACAGATGCGTACATTTTCTGACGAGAATATGGATGAAGCACGAAACAAATATCATAGAATCTGATACTGTACTAGAAATCTTATGTAAATTCCAAAATTCAATATAGATATATTTTTTACTCTCCTGCAATTCTTTAAACATTTCTAAAGCGTTAACTTTTAAGAATCGACTCACGTAACAGGGCCCTCCGTTGTTCTCTCCACCAAAGCATACTTGAGAAGTTGTATTGAAGGTGTATTTCTGAAAATAATTTGCATAAACTGTCGTGCAGGCAGCAGGAAGTCTGGTTGATAAAATCTTGGTTGTCAAGCTGGGACTTCCTCCTTTGAAAAAAAAAAATAGCCAAGATTCGAATTTATACGCCGTGAAATGAGAATAGCATGAATAAAATACTGGAAGTGGATAGATCCTTGGATCCATGGAGAACTTTACGTTCTGATTTGGCACATATCTGTCAGATTATTTGACACATTAAGACAAGTTAATTTCAAATGTCAACTATACAGAGAATATAATGCCCTTTCAGTATTGGAAGAGCTTACGGCGAAATTACGGTATGATGTTTCACCGTCTTTGGAATAAATATATTTTGGTGTAGATTCTCAGGAATAATCGCGAGAGATAAGTTCATAAGCTCATATTTGAAGTAAGAAAGTTTGATTTCGAGCTTTGCGTGTTGTTACTTCAGCTTTGCTTCTTGTACTTTGAATGCGTTTTATTTAAATTTTCGCATAAATAAGCATAAAAGGAACGATTATCAGTTTCGGCATTAGGATTTTTTGAAAATTGTAAAATTGTAAAAGCACTTGAATTGTTTATTCACAGAAAAAGCACGTGTTATAGATAAATCCCAAGTAGCACCAATAAGAGATAAGTTACACTTCTCAGCTCTTTGAATTACTCGTGCATTATTTTTCTTTCAAACTTCGGAGCATTAAAAAAACGAGAATTTCAAACCTGTATTCTCTAACACGTCATGCATTGACAAAAATATCCGAATCATGGTCAAAGTCGTGATTATGCCATTTTTATTACAAATGTCACGAGTATTTTAATTTTTAAAAATCACCTGCATTGGTTCCCCATCCAGTGATATCGACATTCGTCCCGTTGCCGAAACTATTTATTGAAATATTATTGGACGTGCGGATGGGTTGAATGGCAGAATTTCTGCTCAAATTCAGCGCGGGAAAGAACACTATTTTCGCAATGTCAAATTGTCTCGTAACGGCGTTGTAATTTGGGTGTCTGGTGATCGAAATATTTTCATTGATTGTGATTTCGTTTTGTTCATTCGGAACGTCCACGTTCAAGTCTCCAAGTGTGCAGGAGGTCACAACCGGATTTGAAACTTGAAAAGGAGAGAAAACGGAAAAGATAAATGCACATAAAATATGTTTTCAACGCTTTAGTGTATTGCGAATACAACGTAACGTAAGCAAATGTCTGATTCGATCTGCTGATGAATATCCATTCTAATAAAATGGAAGCACCCAACAGAAAAATCCCAATAATTTTTCAACAACTATCCTTATTTGAACTAATTTCGTTTAAAAATGCATACATTTACCCTCAATATTACATTCTCCGAAGTTTTCATTTCATTTTCATCGAAGACAGCCGAAGACGGAAAGATTGATCGTTGACTAATTTTTTAAAACATGAGATGGGCGTGTAAAAATTTTAAATGACCTGACAATTTTTCCTCAACTTTGAATAAGGGCATAATAAGTCCATACAATTCTATATGTAACCTCGTCTCTATTCGTTTTACATTAAATCACTGCGCCTAATTTTTCCTTCATTTATTTTGAATCCAAAGTTTGAACACATGCACACGAAGATGCTGATATTTATTGATATTTGTATCTCAATAACAAAATTTGCTGGTTAGTTCACCAAATTTTTTTATTCTTATTTTTGCTCACGGTCAGTCGACGTGTAATGCGTGCAATGTGCCGAAAAGGCGATGGTGTCATTTTTCACCACGGCACCAGCGCAGGTCTTGGTCGTGGTCGTAGTGGTGCTTCGGAATACCATGGTGCACCTGGCGACGTAATTTCGCGTCGTTCTGTTGGTGACACTATTGCCTCCCGACACCACGGGTTCGTCGATATTCACGACATAATTCTGGGGACCCGTCGACGAGTAATTGAACCACGTCGACGCGAGATTGCGAATAATTGTCGACAACGCAGTAAAACACGACTCGACACTGTTGATTTCTAGGCCGATGGTCCCCACGAACAATAGTAGGAAAGTTATGTGGCTCGGCGACATGTGTGTCACAGCTTTATTTGCCAGAGGGGTATATGTTGAAAGAAAAATGTACGAAATATGGCAGGTTGTTTGCTTTCTTTTTGTCTTCTCTTCTGCAAGAAGCAGCACTGTTACAACTGTCACGTAGACTATACTGATCTCCTGTTTTTTTTCTTTTTTACATTTGAATCGATGCGTCAAGGTAGTTTTTATGTCGAATAGCTCCGAGTACTTAAAAGGTAAGAAAATGTGTCGTATTTTTGAAAATTCGTTTGCGAAAGTTTGTCTGACTTGGAATCAAACAAGTCTCAGATTGAGTTGACAATTCCTTTTTTCTCGAAGTTCCGAATACAGGAACTTGAATTTATTTTCGTCTGTGATAGAAATATTATTTTTGTTAGAATTTTAATTTTTTCCTCTCGGGTAGGTTGGAAGTTGAAAAATTATTCAGTTTGTTGTGTCACAGATTACAATCTATCTGCGAGCTTCGTTTTTGTATCCTTACCTTAATCGAATCCTTGTTTTCGGTATTTTTTGTTTTAGTTTTTGTTGATAAGCTCCGAGTACTGCTGACAATGTAGCACAGGCTGGGTTTTCTTCCGACAGATTTTTCTGGTGAAAAATCTGTTTCAGTTTCACAAATAAACGATGTCTCCAAGTTTCCTTTTTCCTCCAAGAATTTCAATTCATTTTCTTGGCAGTGAATAATTGTTGGACAATTCTTCTTTCGGTACTTTCCTTTTAAATTGATGGCGTAGACATTCGAAACAGAACTGCAGTATTTCGTTGACACGCAAAACACAATTTGAATTTGTTAAATGATTATCAGCAGTTTCTTATTTTAGAATCCACGCCTTTCGCAAAGATGAGAGTACTGACAAACAGCTTCCATATTTTGACGACTTTGGAAACTTTTTTCTCCGTTGAAAGAAATGTGTAAGTGAAACAAAATGCATGCCTCAGAACCACTGAGATTCATCTTTTTGTCCCTGGACAAATTTTGAGCAGATATTTGTTTCAGAAAACGTATTGCTCTTGCATTTTTATTTACGAACTTATGAATTTATCTTTATAAATGGTCTTGAAAAATCCACCGGAAAATTTGCCAGCGCAATCGTGAAAATATGCGGACCACGTCACGTATGTCTCCACGTTAATGAGTCTCAGTAATAGCAAAGGAAAGGAGGTCAAAAACTTGCTGTCAATAAGTCCACAATCGTTTCGACCGGAAAGCGAAATACATTATCCAGGATGAAGACGGACGAATTTCCTCAAACTTTTGCGTTTATATTTTCAAACGTAAAAGTATGCCTCTTGCTTCGCTCTACACGGTATACATTTTTTTTTCATAAATATTCCGTTGGCATTCACTGGAAAATTTGCGGATGCAGGCGCGAAAATGTGCATGCACGTTCGCGCTTTTCGCGGCGAGTTACCATCCCGCACGGGTTGCGGTGGAAACGTGACACGTTGTGCCAAACTGTGGCCCGATTACCCCCACATATATTTGTTTCCCCTCCTCTCCTTGTAAAGCACGAGAAAGACGTTGCATGCATCCTTGCATCTTCGTATATGAATATCACGCAATTCTCGACCGGGTGCGGGGTGTTGAAAGGGAAACAATGTGCGACCCACATTTTTCCTCATATCTCGCATCCCTTTTTGCTTGCTGCTGGCCAGGGTGACGATGAGCGAAACCAGAGGAGGCGAAATGAATGCAAGACGTTTCCTGAGGGGGTGGGAAGTCATTAAGAATTCAACCAGCATCGCGTCACGGTTTGTCCGACTTCGGATCTAGAAATGACACACTCACACATAACTTATTGTAGACGTGTCATCGTGCTTTGAATGAATCTGCAGATTTTCTTCTTCTCCTTCTTCTTTCTTTTTACCTGTACAGAAGATGGGTCTAGCATTTTTTTTTCGCTACATTTTTTTGTGGTTCACAAATTATTTAACGGAAGCATCCGATGCGATGTTCAGATAAATTTATATTCTTGACTATAAGAGTGGAATTTCTTGAGGGTCTGCTAATCTGCTTGAACAGCTTTTTTGATCAAATCAATCGCCAAAAATTGGCCGTGTCTGACTTCAATCATCTATATTGTTGGGAAACCGCCGCACGCGCACGCCAAACAATGCGAAAATTAAATTATAATAAATTATAAAAAACCGCTAAATCTGATAAGAGTTCCAACCCTCAAAGGGAAGGAACTCACCAAGGATAACCACACTTAAAACAATAGAAAAACCAGAAACCAATTTCTGCTGCTCCAAAATTTACCCAAGAACAAAGTTCACTTGCTATCAAAATTTTGAATTGTGCACATCGCAAAATTTACGAAATTCTGTGGAGAGTCCTGTTGAGTGTTGTGTTGTTCAGAATTTATTTTTGTGTGTCAAATCTTTGTGGGACAAAAATCGAAATACATTCCTCTAATTTAAACTAGGAAATCCAAAAGGATTCCCCTGCCTCGTCCCAGGCTGATTCTGCCTTTTATTTCCACATTTTTGAACTTTACTTTTATAAATCAATTTATTGATCCACTTGCAAAATTCCATAAATTTATGTTCAGGTAAGTTCTTCCTTTACATATATGATGCAGTTGTGAAAAAAATAATTGCGAAATGAGTTTTTTTTGTGCAATTCTTCGAAGTTGTCCTCGCTTGGGTTTTTATTTATGCCGAGAAAAATCAGTGCTTGACAAAAAGCTGCTGCAATCAAATCTACTTCCTGACGTATAATTCGGAAGTAAAATCTTAACTTTATTGTACTGTGCTGGGCACCGTAAGAGTGTGTACTGCAGTATTAATTTCAAATACAGGCATTCTGCTGGAAGAAACGGGAATGAATTGCTTAATATATTGGGATTTATTTGCAATACAGTATCCGAGATTTATCGTTGGAATTTGTTTTTGAATTTTCACGGATCTCTTCAATCTGACACTTTTTTGCGTGTCTCGCAAGTCCCCAATGATCCAGCTCATTCAATTACAAAATCATTTCCAGAATTCTGAAACTGTGATGCAAAAATAAAAACATGGTTTTGAAATGCCTGGAACTCTACGGTTTTTTTTTCAAGAGTGATATTCGGAAATCCTTGGCGATATAGTCTTCTAGAATCAGGTAATGAGGAAAAAATCTTTAATAATATATTCTAGGATATTGCCGTTCTAAAGAAATAGACCCGAATACATTTTTGGCAAGCATCTCTCCTCTTGAACCCAGCTGATCTCCAGGCAACAAAAGAGGCCATTGTTAACCAGTCAAAAAAGCCTTTCAGCTTCCAGCTCAGAAGGTTCACTGAACCGCCTTGTGAAAAATTTCAATTCGGGAATTTCAGTGCATGAAAGGATAGATCCAAAATCCCTCTGATTATGCCGGAAAATCTCGTAAAAATTCATTCACTCTCCATCCAAAATACCGGCTTCAATATTGTTCGTGGGTTAAAATGGAATCGATTGAAACGTAAAATATTTTTTTCGAATGATTAAGAAGGAAGCGTAGGCCGGGATTTTTTTTTTTTTTTTTTTGCCAGTTAGGCCTGTAAAAGATGCAGACAAGCGGAAGATGACGAGTGTCTGACGCTTTTCTCTCCAGCAGTCCACTTGAGCTGCTGCTGTGCGAGAACAACGAGGTCGCTGTTATTGTCGCAATCATCCTGTCAACCGAAGGGGGAAGAGTCGACCTTAACCCCACCTCAAGTTCCACCTCGGTTTCCAGCCATTTTTCTCCCTGTTTTGAAATAATTCATTTTCCTAATGAGAAATTCAGCGAGTTCACCTTACTTACCGGGGAGAATGCAAAATTTGTTGAACTTTCTACGCAGGAAACAGAAGAAAATAACGGTGGTCTCGTTCATGCGATCGGATTCCAGCTCCTGAAAATTTAAATTCAATTCGTGACACGTGATGTCTTGCTTTCCCTAAAAATCAGCTAAAGTTTGGGATTGTATTCTGCAGTGATTTAAAATAAAGCCTGGAATAATACTGTACTCGTAAACCCTCAATAAGAATTGAAACATTATAACTTCAGGGAATGATTTCACACCCCGCGAGATCTGGAGCCAAAATAACTACTTACTGTACTCAGTGTTTCCTTCTTATAATCATCTCGCTCGCTTGAATTGGTCACATACTGGTTTTCCGTAAAGATAATGCGGTGAATGAAACATTTGTTACACTTTCAGCGCAGGAAAAAGAAAAAAAATTAACGGTGATCTCATGCGATCGGATTCCAGCTCCTGAAAATTTAAATTCACTTCATGACACGTGATGTCTTGCTTTCCCTACAAATCAGCACATTTGGGGATTTTTTTCTGCAGGGATTTAAAATAAAGCCCGGAATATACTGTACTCGTACTCGTAAACCCTCCACAAGAATTAAAACATTATAACTTCAGCAGGGGAATGATTTTCCCCCCAATTATTTGAAGCAAAAATAACTATGTACAGTACTCAGTGTTCACTTCTTTTCAATCCTCTCGCTCACTTGAATTGGTCATATACTGGTTTTCCTTGACGATAATGCGAAACATGTACTTTCTCTGAAAGCCCCGAAAGTTACTCAAAAATAAATTTTCCGTAAATTTTGTGTTTCTCGAGTTCAAAAAGAAGGCCAACACGGGAAATCCTTACTCATCATCTAAAAGATGATCCACGATTTTACGATACCTGTTTTCTTTTTTGGAAACCGAGGTGCATTTAAAAGTTCAATTGCAAGAAACTTGGTATCTCCGAAGAAGAAAAACAATCATAATTTTTGAAGTCACTATAGGTTTTAAAAATAGTTCAGGGAAACCCACTAGTTATTTTCTGAACCCGTGATCACAAAACGGTGGAAGGAAAAAGCGATTGTCGTTTTTGAACGGGAGGATATTTGTTCTGGCATCGTGTCACTTTCGAGCTTCGTTTCGGAGGGCGAAACAAATTGTTGATTTCTTCAAGTTTTTCTTCTTCTTTTTCAATGTGAAGGTCATCGTTGAAGAAGAACAAATGAGTGTAATGGGGTATTTTTTACAAGCAATCTTGCATGATTTCTTTAAGCAATTGATTCCGCGACATCCGCGTTAATAAGTGCTTCTACTGATGGTTCATTTCACTTTCAAACTGAATTCTATCAATGATCATTATATTCTTGACACGCCAAGAATCGCAGTGACAACACGCAAAATTCGAGCTCAA